CGCTTCCAGGGAGTCTAGAGCGTCTCGCTTCCAGGGAGTCTAGAGCGTCCCGCTTCCAAGGAGTCTAGAGCGTCTCGCTTCCAGGGAGTCTAGAGCGTCCTGCTTCCAAGGAGTCTAGAGCGTCCCAGGGCATCTAGAGCGTCCCAAGGAGTCTAGAGCGTCTCGCTTCCAGGGAGTCTAGAGCATCCCACTTCCAGGGCATCTAGAGCGTCCCAGGGCGTCTAGAGTTTTAGTTTATTTAAAAAAGCCCTGGGATCGTCCCACCAGGGGGCTGGCGTATACCTCTGTAGCCAAGCGAGCGCAGAGGTATGCCTGCTAGTGACGGTCCGCTGGGGCGGCAGGACCAATCAGAACCTGTGTGGCGGAGGCTGACGGCTCGTCTCTCTGTTGTCAGTGTGTCTGTTTGCTGCCGGGCGCCGGCAGGAAGCCCGCAGTAAGTCAGCTGTCAGTCACTCAGTCTCCATCATCCAATCAGAGGCCTGTGCAACTGTACGCGTGGTAGTGGTGCTCTGTGATTGGCTGGTCGCTGGCTGTGGTGTTACCTTAAAACTGTGTCCGTCGGCTGTGGTGTCAATGTCATTGATCGTGCCAAACAGAACCCGAGCTCTCCTGATGGTTCCGAGGCCTTTCAAAGTGAAACTGGGGTAAAGTGTCGGTTTCTGTGTTTCAGGTGGACATGAACTTCATGAAGAAGATCCCTCCTGGAGCGGAAGCCTCCAACGTTCTGGTTGGAGAAGTGGACTTCTTGGAACATCCAATAATCGCCTTTGTCCGCCTCTCCCCGGCCGTGCTGCTGACGGGGCTCACTGAGGTCCCCGTACCCACCAGGTGGGGGGGTTCTTATCCCATCTGCCTCTCTGCTAATTAACGAAAAAATAAAAACCCAAACTTCTATGTTGATATATTCTTAAGTTTCGATCGATACAACAGAATTCTGATATTGATATCATCCATTAAAATATACTGGATGCCGCTCCAGATGTCTGGTCTGAAATCTTAAAAAATCTTCTGATATAATACTTAAGAAGGAAAAAACACATCTAACTCCGATCATTTGGAGCTCCAAGCTGCAAATTGATTAATCTGTTAATTATTTTTTCAATTCAATTAGTAATTGGATAGCTAAAGATTTCTTAAAGAGGACTCTTTCTTAAAGAACTTGAGGAGTTCTGAATAGAGAAAAGATTTTTTATATTAACTGCAAAATGTTTAAATTTTTTTTTTTACAATTTTGTGTTATTATTGATGTAAATGGGTCACTTTGTCAGCTAAAGGCATGTTTTAAAGTCTCTACATTCCAGTTAACTATTAATTGATTATTAAATTGACAATAATTATAATAATCGATTTATCATTATTAATCCGATTAATTATTTCAGCCCTAATTTTAATTTTCTATGGATGGATTTGTTTCTTCCAAATAAATCGTAATGAAAAAGTAAAAGAATCTGTTTCTTGTTTGAGTCCAATCATTACGTCTCGTCATGTTAAACAGATTTGGATAAACCGCATGAACAGCTGGGTTTAAACATACTGTTATTTCTTGACATATGTCAACAAGGTCTAAAGTATGAATATGAGAATGAGTGGGACTATGCACATTTTGAGTCCAAGATGGCATCCAGTAGGGATAATAAAATTCCCTACTATAATGGCCTTGTCAGTATCAGATGAAACTCAGAAAACTGAACTAAAATTTATTTATGAGCTCGTTGGTCACTGAAGAAAAGCCCTCTGTGGTCAGGAAATCAAACATTTCAAGGCTTTTTTCCAAACACTTCTGATGTCCATTTGGGTTTGTTTGTCTCCGTCAGGTTTCTGTTCCTGCTGCTCGGCCCATTTGGTAAAGGCCTGCAGTACCACGAGATCGGACGCTCCATTGCCACGCTGATGACGGACGAGGTGAGCTAAAGAAGTGGATCAGCTTTTGGTTCTGATCCTGCAGAACGTCGTTTAGATCCCTTTTGCCCTGCTGCAGGTCTTCCATGACGTGGCCTACAAGGCAAAGGACCGGAACGACCTGCTGTCCGGAATCGACGAGTTCCTAGACCAGGTCACCGTGCTACCGCCAGGAGAGTGGGATCCCAGCATCCGGATCGAGCCGCCCAAGAACGTCCCGTCTCAGGTGAGAATGCCACCAAGGCGTCCTGGGCGCCAACCCGTTCAACGACGCGTTCTCTGACACCCCATGTATGTCTGCAGGAGAAGAGGAAGATACCGGCGCTGCCAAACGGCTCCACCCACTTCTCCGAAGCGGTGAAGGAGATGGAGCATCATACGGGCCCAGAGCTGCAGAGGACCGGCAGGTCAGTGTGTGCTCTGCTCAGGTGAGCTGTAGTCCCCGAGCAGTGCTGATGTGACCCTGGGTTCCCCCAACAGGATCTTCGGAGGCTTGATGAACGACGTCCGCAGAAAAGCGCCGTTCTACTGGAGTGACATCAAAGACGCGCTGAGTCTGCAGTGTTTGGCCTCCATATTGTTCCTGTACTGCGCCTGCATGTCACCCGTCGTCACGTTTGGAGGGCTGCTGGGAGAAGCCACCAAAGGGAACATCGTAAGAACCAGCTGGTTCCGGTTCTCTTGCTCTCTGACCCAGTCTGACTGTCTTTCCTCCAGACTCTGAGGCCTTTTGATACTTTTGGTGACGGAAAAATGAAGCAAGAGCAGATTCTGTCAGATTTTTAATCTCCTTTTGGGGGCGCTCTAAACGTTCTGGAAGCAGGACGCTCTTAACGTTTGGAGCGTTCCGCCTCTAGAGCGTTTAAGCGTCCCGCTTCCAGGGCATCTAGAGAATCCCGCTTCCATAGCGTTTAGAGCGTCCCGCTTTTAGGGCGTCTAGAGCGTCCTGCTTCCAGGGTGTTTAGAGCGTCCCGCTTCCATAGCGTTTAGAGCGTCCCGCTTC